AGAGTTGTGGGACTTATTTAGCACAGATTAGCAGATCATTAATTTCACTGACTATAAATAAATTATAATACTGAGGTAAATTTTAGCAAGCACTAAGTTGGCTGTTATAGACGCTTTTCTTTTCAACTAACCAACATTTCTATACAATCTGCTTCTACGTTGCCTTTGACATCATATTTATATATTTCTTTCTCAGTTCCTGCGGCCCACACTCAGTATGGAAATATGTCTATTTACATTCCTTGCTTTCCCAAAAAAATTCAAGGTGACAGTTAGTTTTTAATTAATTTAAAAACCCAGCATATGGCACTCCACATTGGGCCCATGGACAGGTGGCTGTGTAGGGTTGGATAAACTTAAAAAATTACAGCTGCTAAAGTCAGCTATGAAATCAGGAAAAGGAGCGAAGCCCACTGTCACATGGGGCCTATCAAAGAGAGAATTAAGGTCCACTTGAGGGGCACAAAGAGCAACTCTCCGGGCTGACAGATGGTATGACACATCTAATTCTCAAGAGGGAGGGTCTCAAGTGGAACAAGGAGTAAAAAATGAGATTCAGAGAGTCACTTAAGTGCTTGCACGCACTGAATCTAATGCGGCATGAAGATTTAAGATTTTGAAGTCAAAAGTCAAGCAGCACGTTTGTGTTGATCTCACCGTTGTGCATCAAATCAAGTGTTTATTCAGTGCTGCTGAAGTGACTGTTACTACACGATGGGCCTGATTTAGTGAAGCAGATGGGATTCTGTTTGTTTTGTTGAGAATAAATATGCAAATCAGCCTCTAACCAATCACTGAATGTTTTACTGTGAGCATCCTGACCAATCACAGATGGTTTTTTGGGTGTCTGGATGAACCGAAGCATTCAAACGTTCGGATAAAAATAAATTATATTAGTCAAAAGTGATGCAAGAGAGTTTTTAACCACATCAAATCAAGGGTTCAGTAATGTGTTTTCAATGTAGTGGTATAACTGTAATATACTGCCTTAAAGGTGCAGCGTGTAAGATTTTGTGGCATCTAGTGATGAGGAAAACGTATTGCAACTAACTGAAAAACCCTCCCTCACCGCTCCCTATCCAAGCATGAGGTAGAACCTACGGTGGCCGTCATGTTTTCACTTCTTTAACAACGAGCATTCACCCTTTCTTGTGCTAAGTAATAAGCGTGATTCTCCATTTGTCAAAATCTGGGTTCTCAAGCTCATGGTTAGCCAGCACCAGCAGCAACCACTGACTCTTCTTCTTTCTATGTCTTTTAACTGGTGCCACTGTAGAAACATGGCGGCGCAACATGGCGGCCTCTGTTGGAAGACGACCCGCTCCTTATGTAGATATGAAGGGCTCATTCTAAAAGTTACAGGTGATTATACACTAATAAAAACATGGTTTTTATACTATATTACCCATGTGTCAAACAGTCAGGCCTGTGGCACATTCCTGGCACAATCCTCTTCGGCCCGCAAATTAATTTCAACCTGATTTCAACCTGAGCTACACTACAGTCTGAGCTACACTACCCATTTCAACCTGAGCTACACTACAGTCCTCAGCATGCACTGCAACACAGTGTGCATTCGGACCCTCTTCCCCCAAAAACAATGAGCAGTTACACACAAAAAAAGATGCCTGGTGTCTAGTTCAAGCAAATAGGCAGTTTTTAAAAATGTACTTAAAACAATTTAAACAATTAAAACAATTAAATTTATTTAGTATTATTTTTGAATAAGTGTTTTAGTTTTGGTGTGCTGTGAATAAACATGGCCCGTTTGGGTCATGGCAAAATGTTAAGTAAAAATGAAATAAAAATACAGCTGGCCCTGGATTTGATGAGATTTTTTAATATGGCCCATTTAGTGGTTGAGTTTGACACCACTGCTATATTATATTTCTGCTGAAAGACCCCTTAAATCTTACACATTGCACCTTTAATTTCCTCTGCAGACACACTTTTTCAATTAGTGATGATTAGTTCCATCTGGGAATAGTTTACCTGGATATGTTATATAATATGTTATATAATTTCTTTTTTTCAAATATTGCAGGTTTTTTACAGGTGCATTCCAGTCTAAAACTAGAGTTTTGTACGCTATTTGCTATTTAGCACAACACTGCTTCCCTCAGCTTCATCAGTTTGACAGAACTCATGATTTTATGTCATTTTCATGTTTCTGTTCATCAATGTTCTCCCACTACAATACCCAGCATGCATTACTTATCTACAAAGGGCCAGTGTGGCTGCAGGTTTTCATACCTAACAAGCAGCAGCACACCTGATTCCACATACTTAAGCAGTTGGTCTCAGTCTTCAAACAACTGATTAGTCATGTGAGATGTGGTCCTGCTTGATGGGAATGAAAACCTGCAGCCACACTGGCCTTTTGGGGATAAGACTGGTGACCTCTGCAATACCAAATACATCATACAACCAGTGGGAATCCCTGTGGTGTCAATCAATTGTGACTGCTGGAGCTGCTGATCTATAAGCTAATAAATTCATCTCAATTGTCAAACCACACTGTAAAGAAAACAGTAATGCTACCTTTATTTAGCATAAATTGGACGACAAAAGAGACAAAGAGACCAAATCCTATTTGACTAATCCATTCTCTCCATTTTAATGAGAATCTGAATACAAGATCTATATAGTTGCAATGAGATATTTGGAGTCCTAGTAAAGTTAGTAATGTTAGCTGTAACACTAGCTGTTCCTTCTGCCTTCGCCAACTAACAAAAAGACTTCAAAATCAGCCCACCTCCAAAAATCCACCCCAGAGCAGTTGTACCTTTTCAAAAGTTCCTCCTACCTTCAAGATACATCACCAGAAAGGGGGGTTTCCTGGTTTTTACATGAGAAAATCTCAGCCAGAGACCAATGCGAGACCACTGGAGGATGCAAATAAGCATCTGGTTACGTTTTTTCATTGTGGCCGGAGTGTCCCTTTAAAAAGGTGCAGTATGACTATCCCCCCCAGAAAATGTTTAACTTTGTAAGAAACCCTATGATGGCTGGAATTAATTGATTATTTGATTGATAGAAGAGCTGAGTGAATCTCGGTACAAGGACAAGGAGGACCATGTAATGGGCAGCAAAAAGTCCTGGCTGACCCATTAACCGGTGACATGACAAAACGCCCTGCAGTGGATAACATATACATTTAATATTAGGAGGTCATTAAAAGCACATTAAAGTACTTCAACACTAAATTGGGCCATCAACTCAAAACCATGGCTGGTTATCAAATATAATAGCAATAATGTGCGTTCAGCTGGGCAGGATTTGAGCACTCTAGTCTGGTACTAATAGCAGAAGGCTTGAGAACCAGTCACATTTGCATCACAAAAAATTGCATACAGGCTGACAATTCAATGCATTTAAAAGCAAGTTACTATAACAAATCAAGGAACAGAGGAACCAGTGATCTAAACGACACTTTCTAAGACATTTACTTCATTCTTATGCATCTATTTTCATGGTACACAGATCACTACAGTCGATACAGACTTTGGTTTGGTGCACAGTGCAGGTTCTGTTAATCAGCCGGTCTCAGCTGTGAAATTCAAGCAGTGTAACCTCAATTCATTCCTTTCACTTACAGGCAATAACAGAAGGACAAAAGCCAAACAAGACTACTCCAGTTCTGTGCTGCAGTATTTTACTGTACAAACATAAAACCCAACTGTACTGACAAACACTTGTACACAAGAACAGTCTATTAAGAAAAGCCTCTTTGTTTACTGTGTGAATCTTGGCCAAAAACCCAACAGGCATTCATATGAATAACTCGTTATATTAAATAAATGCTAATGGATCGTCTCTTATGTGGGAAAACAGAGGGACCTCGAGCGCTCTCGTCCGACCCAGCAGTGGCTTTTGGCAGCTTTGTTCTGAACTAAACGGCACGTTTTCTTTACAGTGCTTTTTTTTGTGCACAGAGGGAGGCGTGCTGTGGCTGGCACCACGCTCTGGGCTACAGCACGCCAGCACACTCGCCGATGACAGGAGATGTACTTTACTCTGTTTCCCACAGCCATGGAGAAAGGATGAGAGCAGGATGCTAGAATGCCATTAGAGCAGGCAGAGCCAGAAGAGATGATGGAGCTTGCAGTGTACCAACACGTGTATATGTGAGTGTGTGAGTGTGTGTGTGTGTGTGTGTCTGTGTGTGTTAAAAATAGTGTGAGTGTAATTTGTGTTTGTGTGTGTGTTAAAAATAGTGTGTGTAATTTGTGTTTTTATGTATGTGTGTGCGCGTGTGTGTGTGTGTGAGTGAGAGAGAGAGAGAGAGAGAGAGAGAGAGAGAGAGAGAGAGAGAGAGACAGCTAGACAGAAAGAGGATGAGAGGTGGACAGAGAAACAGACAGATTGATATAAATAGATAGATTGAGAGAGAGAGAGAGAGAGAGAGAGAGAGAGAGAGGGAGAGAGAGAGAGACAAAGAGAGGGACAGAAAAAGAGAAACAGAGAGACAATAAGAGGAATGGGAGAGAGAAAGAGAGTGAGAGACATGGAGACAGAGATAGAGACTTAGGGGGGAATAGGGAGAGAGAGAGAAAAATGAGAGAGTAAGAGAGTCAAAATCAGGGTGGTGGGGGGCAGAGACAGAGAGAGAGAGAGAGAGAGAGAGAGAGAGAGAGAGAGAGAGAAAGGCAAATTGTGTCTAAACGACACTTGAGTTGTAGATTAAGTGCTTATATATCCACGCAGGTTCACAATAAATGGATTATGATCATTTTAAGATCATTAAAGCTAAAGATAATCCAACAAACACAAACTCAAAGCACACAACCACAAAACCCACATCTACAAACAGCTTTCTAAACAGGCATCTTTCGTAACAGCAGACCACCACACCACAGTGACCCCAGTGATGTGAGAAGGAGGTGAGAATGAGGATTCCTCCGCTCTGGACCAGCGCGTGTGAAATGGAGGGAGCCGAGCTGAGCGCTCGATGCGCACACAGCAGCACTGCGCACAAATACGGATGAAAAGGCACTTACTTCAAGACGGCACTGTCCCCTTGTCTGACAGTGATGTTGTCCTTTAAATACGAATCCCCGCTTCGCGCTGGCACTCCTGCGGGCACAAGGAACAGCAGTCTTAGAGCCACCACAACCAGGCATTTCCAAGGCAGAGCAAGGCAGCTGGCTATGCCCATGTTCTCCCCCGTCGCTGCGCACAAAAACTTCCACAACTTGAAGTACTCCGAGAACGAGGACTGAAAGCGAGCACTCAAATCAGATCCGCTCGGTGTAAAAAACGACTCTCCCTGCGTCCAAATGCGCAAAGAGAGCGATTTTAGCCCAAGCCTAAATCCTCTAGGACGAACGCTCCTGATTATTCCACGAAACTTCCGAGCGCGTGAGGACTGTGAGTGTGTGCGTGGCGGAGAGCGCGAGCTGAGGAGCCAGCCAGTCCTCTGTGTTTGTCTCGTGTAGAATTTACGATCTCCAGCGGACGCGCGCAGCCTCGCGTTATCTACCACAAGCAGTTCAGTTTAATGGCATCAAGCAGACGGATTTCGACAGCAGAGCGCTTTCAGACTGCAGAGCACATCATTAAGTCGAAGTGTTGTCAAGCCACTTAAAGTGAAGCGCTCTCCCTCGGATAAGGTGCGAAACTGACTGTCCATCAGCTCCAGTATCTCTGGGACTTGGCGCTGAACTATGAGACAAACGCATGCGGGGATTGCAGTCCGCGCTGGGCTTTTTCCCCCACCCGTATTCCGACAAACCCCGCCTCCGTGCGCTGGGATTGGTTAGTAGTTTCCCGCTTAACGCGATACGATTGGATAGTAGTTTCCCGCGTTCCGCGACAGAATTGGCTGGTAGTTTCCAGCGTTCTTTCCAGGATTGGGGAATCATTTCCCGTTTAGTGCGCTGGGATTGGCTAGTAGCTTTCCGCCTTCTGTGCTGGGATTGGCTATCAGTTCATCACAACAAGTCTAACTATATATTGTCTAATTGTCCACAGTAATAGTTTAGTCAACTTTTGGTTGGTGCACTGCTTAACCTGTGTAAGCCATTGGCCAATCCCAGCACAGGAGGTGTGGTTTGTCAGAATACGGGTGGGAAACAAAATTTGCCTCCAGACTGGAAAAACAGAGGTCAACGTTTTTCAAAAACATGGAATGCCCTGAGAGGCCCTGAGAAGTCCATTAGAAAATCCTACATTCACTTAATGAGTGGTTTCTTATCAGAAAAAATACACTTACCCCAGATGTGGTGGACCAGCTGAGGCATGTTTGGTGTCAGTGCATCAGAGCTAATGTTGCTATCAAACACTACAAGTCATACAATATTTTCCATAAATACATGACCTAAACCAAAATCAAACTTGCATGGTTTTCCACTCGCGCCAATTGCAATCCATCAGCCACATGTTTGGTGTTCATATTTTGTTCTTTAATTTAGAACTGGAGCTGCTAGGCTAACGGTGCTAACAGTGCTAGTCACCAAGCATTTCCACAAATACATGCTTATCTTCATAAACTTGCATCAAATTACATTGATAAGCTACGTGAGTCTGTTTAAAACAAACAAAAGTATAAGTAAAATGGCACAAATTGCACTTATTTACATATTTGAGTAAAACCAGAACTACATTATCGTCCATATAAAGCCTTCAGACACTGTTGCACCTTCAAACTTTAGGAGGCTGGAGCGCAGGAGCATGTTGGTTTTTGTGAAATAATTATAAGAATATTTAAGCTGGAATAAACATGTTTTTATACAAGCAACATATACATCTAGGCTACAAATTAACACTTGAACTTTGTTTCTAGCTCCTATTGTTCATGTACAATACCACCCAAAATGACAAGTGCAATGTTCCAGTTTACCCCATAGTTTATTCAAATTCACAGTATACTGAAATAGCAGGGCGTGACCTGGGGGAGGCGCTGCTGCTGCTCTAATGCAGTGCTGTCTCTGCTGTACTACCAGAGATTGACCAACAAAACGTTCAGCCAGTCATATCAGCCCTGTACGTTGTAAGCCAATCATATCAGACCTGGGGGAGGGTCTCTGTTTATGCACTGCAAAGTAATCGGTAACAGAGCTGAAGACAGGGTTTTGGCTAAAAGCTCACTAAAATAAACATTAGACCTTATTCAAAATCTATAATACACAGAGTGAAACAGTGTTAAACAGAGTCTATATATCCACCTACAAAACGGATTTGTGGCAAATGATGGTCAGCATAGCTGGATATCTGTTTTTTTGCTTGGTTGCTGAACTCTAGCTAACTTTAGTTAACTTTGGGTTTAAGTGAGGTAAAGAAAGGAGGCTAGGCTAACACTAACATTAGCTAACTAGCTGACAAGCCAACTAGGTTAACCTTTCATCATACCGAGTGTGAACAAACAAGAGAGATAGAAATAATGTTACTGACAGCTCTTTATATTCTCTGTTTTTAGATTTCTCTCCAGTATGTAGAAACAATGACACCAGTATTTGTCATGTGTTGTAGCTTACAGTAAGCTAATGTCAGTGAAAAAGACGAGGCTGAAGTTGTTTCCTATTCGCCAGATTCTTGTTTGCAGTATTTAAAGTGGAACTGGAAAATTCAAACAAGAAGCTGATTCAGCTTTGTGTGAAAAGGTCATCATAGCAGTTTTATAACCCTCAATTCCCCAACCTGTAGATGGAAATTAAGAGGCAGCAGCTCCACTGAAGGCCAGTCAGATGAGAAGACTTTTACCAGGTAAAAAAAAAATAGTAGTAGATTGACCATTAAGTCCGTGAGTCCTTGTAAATCTGAGTTTAATAAAATTAATATATTTCTAAACACAGGAAAAGAGGGAGAGAAAAAAGCCGAAGGAGACTGACAGGACTGAAGAGGCAGGTCTGATGGAGCTTAGTGGTCAAAAAGAAAGTGAGGGAGAGGTGTATAAGCTTTTGGTCAAAAGTAATTCTGAAGTTAATTTAACTTTACTGAGAAAATATAATATTTGTCACCATGACCATGAAATTCTGCCACCAGCTTATTAAACATGCCTACAGAGCAAAATCTTACTGATCTAAGAGAGAGGAGAGAGCTTGTATTAAGCATCTGTGCTTAATACAAACTATGAAGAGACAGATCTGCTGTGTGCTAATTTGACCAAATAACCATTTTTTATATACTTAATGAGGCTGACGCTCTTGACATTTTCTGGCTGTTGCTACTATAAAAGTGCGTTATAAATTATATTAAAAGATTCTCCAAGGGGACAACACCCCCAGAACCCCTAGCACAGGCTTAGCCCTCCTATTCATGAACCTCTAGTCATTAACATGCTTATTTAAAACAAAAATGCTAACATCAGAAAGATACTAATGAAGTAGAAGAAAATCCCTGTTTCAGATGTTCGAAATGTGTGTAAATGTGTAAACATACAGAACGAAAAAAGACAAATTTGACTTTGGCTATGTTCACATTATCTGGGTGAAGCGGCACAAATCCGATTTTTTGCCCTAATGTGACTCTGATCTGATGTTTTTGAAGCTGTGTGGACACACAAATCTGATCTTTTCAAATCCAACCTGAGTCACTTTCACATGTGGTCCTAGATTGGATACGTATCTGATTCATGGCCATGTGACCTTAATGTGACGCTCAGATCGGAATTCATGTGCTTTCTTTCCACTGCGCGTGCACCATCATTCAGCGTTACCATGGCAGCAGCGTTGAACAGAAGTTAAAGCCTGTAAATGGTGGAAAAGCAACACATCTCACCTTTTTCACCTTCATCTCGCTCTAATAATAAAGCTGAGAGCTGATCAGAGTTAATTATCTTCTCAGCGAAGCTCGTTCTGCTCGTTAGTTTGTGCTGATGATTGTGCACATGTTTCATGTGACGTTACTGAGTAGGATGTGCGCATGCAGGTCTTTTCAGGATGCTGGTTCATTCACATTAATGACAGATTTAACTCACTTACATAAACAAGTGTGAACCATTGTGTCAGAGAGATCGGATTTGAGCAAAAAATCTGATTTAAGCAATGAGGCTTGTAATGTGAACGTAGCTTTTATTTGTCTTTGTGTAAGGTGGCTTAGTTGTAACACTATGTAACAACTAACCTCGCGGTACAGAGGCTTTGCTTAAGCCCAGCTAACACAGTAATATAAGGTTCTGATTTACACAAACAGCTCAGTAACTGAAAAAACTTGTGTTGAAAAAAACTACCTACATGCTCTGAAAACACTCTTTGGCACTGATCCCTTTAAAATGCTGACAAATCGCTCAGAATTTTCGCAGAAGACCGTGGCTAGGAAATGTGTTAATGTGGCCAGAAGCACACACTGCATGACCCTGGATAACAACGTAAAAAGTCTGTTTTATGTTGTCCTCTGTGCTCCCCAACATCACTACACTTCACTACATAGTACATAGCATTAGCACAGTAATACCTAAGGCTTACTTATTGTAAGATACTTAGAAGTTCCATATCGATTAGTGCTCGACCTGCGACAAACAGCTGTTGAGTTCCATTTTGCAAAAACAGAACAAAGCAAGAGAGACGGTCAGTAAAGTTATCGTGCAAAATCTCTGGGTATGCGGTGATTGTTTTTCACCTGAGGATTCTCAGCGGGACAAGTTTTCACAGATGACACCTCAAAGAAGTGAATCTGAGGTAAGCACTTTTACTTTATCTCCATCTTTGTTATGCTCACTTACTGTTATGCCATATGTAGCTAAGAGGGGGGTCTGGGGAGTCACTGGTGGGTCCAGCATCCAAAATTTCTTCAAAAGTTAAAACATAGACAGTTGAGGCTCACTTGTGCAGAAAATGTGGTCTTAAATTTGTAAAGCACACACGCTTAGCTTCTCTGCCTACATTAACTTGTGGTGTGTCAATGTTGTGAATTCCCTTAGCTCTACCTTGGGTCTTATGCAGAATGATACCAAATTGTGCTCAGGAAAGAGGCGATTCTGGTTATCCTACATTAGGGGTGTCAGACTCAGCCATTAAAAGGGCCATATTAAAAATCTCAACAAATCTGTGGGCCAGAGAACAACTATGTTTTTTATTTCATTTTTAATTAATGTTGTGCTTTAACCCAAACTGGTTTATTTAACATATGCAAGAATTTCAACAGTAAAATACTGCCACTTGTAGTAGACCTTGAAATATTACATGAATACTTGAAATATTAAAAATGTAAATGTCTCCAGAAGCCCAGTCTTTTAAACCTACCTATTTGCTGGAGCTAAACACCTGACATCTTTTCTTTGTTGCAAGTTCATTAAAGCTTGGGCTCAGCTTCTGAGCTGCTGAGCTGACATTAAGTGTTTATATTGGTTGAACTGCAGCTGAAATGCAGCTAGTGTGTTTGGTGATATGGCTGGTGTGGACTTGCATAGAATTGAGGTGTAACTGCTGTGCAGGTAGAGAGTCAAAGCACACATTACATTGCAGTGCATGTTGGGGACTGTAGTGCAGTGTGTTGTGAAACAGGCTTATATTAACAGAAAATTAAAATACTTTTGCGGGCTGAATAGGATTGTGTCGTGGGCCTGATCTGGCCCATGGGCCTTGTTTTTGTCCTAGATGGATGCCACTAATTTTCCTACACGGACAGGTTTTTTAGGTCACAGTGAGTCATACTGTGCTCTAAACTGCACCAACATGTGAATGAAGACCTGGATGCAGTTTGAGCGAGTTGAAAG